TTTCCCTATATAAACTATAGTAAACTTTACCCCCTCCCCAAGGGAGAACAGATAGCTCGGGGGTCCTGAAATTTACAATTTTAATAAAGCCCCTGATGATCTTTCCATCCATGCAGAGAAAATGACTGTAATACCTCTGAGTCTGGAGAAGAAGATTTTTGAAATATTGGTTAATTTTCCCTTTTGGGCCCCGCCCTGGCCCCTAAGTAAAAATAGAAATCCTAATTTTACAATTTGTTAGCCTCATATACCAAGGATGATTCTGACCAAGTTTTAAAAAAATCCATCCACTGGTTCTTGAGAAGAAGTTGATAATGTAAAAGTTGACGCACGACGCACGACGGACGACGGACGACGACGGACTGAAAGTGATTGGAATAGGTCACTTGAGCAAAGCTCAGGTGACCTAAAAAGCTATTAATATTATTATGCGATACGTGATAATGAACAGCTGTATTTATTCAGATTGGACCCGATGAAAAATATATAATGTTGGGCACCGATTTGGATGTTTATATTTGTTCAGGACCGAGTCTTTATTACGTATCATGTAAATGATTGACATCATTTCAGCCGATACCAGCCATCTTTCTCAAACAGCATTAATCAGTTTCTTCAGTCAAGTTACCGAAAATTAATTATCACAACTAAGAAATCGTTACACTAACACATTTGGAGCTGTTCGTATCAGTACGAGTTGTGTGTATACACATACAAAATTTTACATTTTAACACAGACATTACTTGCAGAAACTGTCTGCACCTTTGAACAAAACCACGGAAGGCCTGATGACGTCACAAATATTGCTGAGTGATGTCATTCAGGCGTGTCATTTCAGTCAAATCTTCTTCTGTACTTACGTACTTATTTCAGCTAGAGTTACCGGATGGACGTCGTGTCCTTGTCGTCGCATTTAAAATGTAGTCGTTTGCACGTGCGACTGCCCTGTATATGTGTTAGCAGTCGCGACCCCTTAAGACACAGCACTATGTATCCAAGTTTATTCTTTCTTTCCAATATCATGTAGTGTTGTTATCAATATGATAAAAGTGGTATCGTCACCGATATAAATATGATTGACATCGCTATCAAACATCTCAAAGAATTAATTTTGACCAACATCTGACAATTTCCAGTCGTTTTCCGAATGAAATACATTTTACTTTAACGTAAATTGTTTTGTCTTATTTAACTGTTATTCACATCTCAATATGTCATTTAGTATTCTGTCTACAGCTAATTTAACTAAGTAAGACTTCGAGGCAACACTTAGCAAAGTCAAACAAGAGGCAGAAAGGGCCTGTATCGGTCACCTGGATATTTAAGCAGTCGTACCAAATATTTAATAAATATTATACTGCACTACAAATATTTCCAACTATTGGGTCTGTCTATCAGTAACACCCTCACCGTATTGGGTCCCATTCTCCTGTCCCCATTGGGATGGGGGCCTGGTTTCTACAATATTGAATCATGTTGGGTCAAGGATACTCTATATCAAATTAGATTAAGGTAAAGCTATAGGATAAAGTAGGTAAAGGTCATTTTCATTCGCAAATTTTGTTGGGCTCCATCTAAGGAAGCTTCTTTATAACATCAGGACTCCATGCCTTTCACTTCTTCAAAAGAAGCTGTTTGCACTTTTTGCTATATTTGACCCCTGTGACCTTGAAAGTAGGTTTAGGTAATTTTCAATCCCAAGAAGCAACCAGCCAAATAATATGACTCTATGCATTTCGATTATTCAGAAAAAATCGTTTGATAAGTTTGACATATTTGAAACCTGTGACCTTGAAAGTGGGTCAGGGTCATTTTCATTCGCAAGCTCATTCCCCAGAAGCTACCAGACAAATATTAAGATTCTATTCCTCTCAGTTCTTCAGGAAAAGTCTATCTGAAGTGTTTGACATATTTGACCCCTGTGACCTTTAAAGTAGGTGAAGGTCAATTTAATTCACAAACTTTGTAAGGTTTCATGTCTGGAACCTGCCAGCCAAATTTTATAATTCTTTACCCATCAGTTCTTCAGAAGTTGTTTGAATTGTTTGATATATATTTGACACCTGTGACCTTGAAAGGTTAATGTAATTTTCATTCTCAAACTTTGCCAGGCTCCAGCCAAATATCAAGATTCTGTACCTTTCAGTTATTCTACAGAAGTCGCTTGATGTATTTGACCTTGACAGTAGATCAAGGTCATTATTGTTCCCAAACTTTGTTGGGCTCTTATATTACCAATGAAGCTACCAGCCACATAATAAGACTCCATACCTTTCAGTTCTTAAGACAAAGTCGTTTCAAGTATTTGACACTTTTGAAACTGTGACCTTGTTAGTAGGTCAAGGTCATTTTCGTTCTCAAACTTTGTTCGGCTCTTACCAATGAAACTACCATCAACATATTAAGATTTGATACCTTTTAGTTCTTCAGAAGAAGTTGTATTAAGTATTTGATTTCTTGACCCATGTGACCTTGAAAGTAGGTCAAAGTCATTTTCGTTCTCAAAGTTTGTTGGACCCTTACCAACGAAGCTATTGCCCAAATATCATGACTGTAGGCCTGTCCATTCTTCAGAAGAATTCGTTTAAAGGAAAAGTTGACGGACGACAGACACCGCACCATGGCATAAGCTCACTAGCCCTTCAGGCAGGCGAGCTGAAAATAAAAAGACAATTTCTACATGAAATAATGGATTTATTTCACACATGAAACCCTCAGTAATGACATGTATTCATCAAGTAAGAAATAACACACTACTTCCAACACCATCCACATTATATGAAAAGAAATCACATGCTTTCCTAGGATAATTATTATCCTATATGTAAAATGTACAACTCTTACAAAGTCAAAGATTTTTCTATATAAAACAGTTTCAATAATGGTAGCTGTACCATGCATTTGCTGATGTGTACAATATCTATATGAATAAAGATGAAAAAGCGTTAGAACGCATTTAATAAGCATGTAGATGTTATAAATTACACATGGTATATTTTTTGGACAAAACGATCTGGTACTGCTCAAATCCTTTTTCAATTAATGACGTTTCTCTTCTTTTAGATAACAAAGTCACAATAGTAGAGATGAATTAATCTTAAGAATCAATCCAATCTTTTAATTAAAAGCAATGAAACTACTTAGAATTAATCCAATATTTTCATTAAAAGCAACTCTAGTTGAAATATATAGGATATTCTTTGCAATTAGAAGCAGCAATGCATATCAATTTCTTCTTATACATGTATTATGCATATAATAAACCAAAACAATGTGCCAAGCAAATAAATGACAAGTAACAGGATATACACAGTTTATTTACAGTTTTGCATAACTGGTAGTGATCGGTACAATACGGGTACAAACATTACTGTGTACGCACATTTACCACATAATAACAAAATCTTAAACTAAAGTCTAGTCTGCGCTAAGTCAACGTTAACCGAAGGGTAAGTTCATAAATTAAGTAAACTATTGTGCCTATATAATGCATAGTTACTAAAACTCAAGCTGTCAGTTTAAGTGACACTAGTACGCCCTTGTTAAATATACGGTACGCATCACTGAAGCAGTCTGGTACTTACTAGTGCAAAGCAGTTTCTGCTACATCTTCACGTTAAAAGGCACGTTATCATGCAGCAATTTCTAGATTGAGATTCTGTTACCAAATCGTGGAATCATCTCTTCAAAATCTGTAAGCTAGCGTTGGATTCCTCATAAAAGATGTTGAGGTAAACAGTAACATTTTGCTATACTAAACTCCAGTTCGGACATATCACAAGGTGTATCCCCACTAGTATGTAAGACATGGTGTACCTTCAGTGAACCACAATATTTGATCAATTACAGATGAGCCAATTTTACTACATACAGCATTTTAATGTACACCATGTATTTAGGTCACAATTATATTTAGGGGAGAATTTGTGAAAATCATTGTCAAAAACATTGCGAACAGGTTATCATTTTATACTCAAGTGGTATTTCAAAATGTGAAAAACTGAACAAAGGCTTCCTTCCTTAAAGATAGTGAAAGGAAAATCAGAGTTACTATTAGGTTGGTTTATAATAAACAATAAAAACAAAATGAAACTTAACATGTTTGATATTCCATTATCATCATAATGAAATATTATATATATAACATAAAACTACATCATGAATACCATATGTATTTTCATACACTCTTTATTCCATTAATAATATATTATACATAACTACAATGTACAAAGCAAAATAACCTCATAATTTCAAAAAAATTTTGTACATAACACCCAACAAATTCAGTTAACAGTTAATCAAAAATATATATATATCTAGTATTTGCACATACTCGAGCCATCCTTTCATTTACCTAGTACATTTGTATCTGTAAAAGTGTACTGTGCTACCTGTGACATTAATAATCAAACCCGTTGTTGTTCATCCGAATCCATTGTGTGGAGCTCATTGGCTTAAGAAAACATAATTGAAAATTTCAAATTTGATTTCTTTGGAAAACTATGCCCAGAAAATGAAAATTTGTGTGTACATAAAATGAACAAAATGTGTAAAATTTCACTGATCATGTACTAGCCTTTCATAGTGTATTTCAAGTACTAACCAAGAGACAGATTTTGCAAAATTTTATCAGCCCTAGCTACATTTTCATAGTGACTGACGAAAATTTTAACTAGTTGTGAGCAGATGAAAAATCTTTCAAGCAGTAGGCATCAGGCTAGTGGTATTGCAAATTCGTGGGCGGCAATCCTTTTGAATCCATCTTTGAAAATTACACACACCTATGCTTACTGCATACCTGGAATATGTCATGACGGAATCAAAGTCTACTTGTATCTTCAATTTCGTCATCACATGTTCTAGGGGGGCCGAGAACGTAAGGGAGCTTACATTCCTGGAATTACGGCATGTTTGAATCCCTGAACAAATCATGTTTTATTTTCAGTTTTTGAATTATTTAGCTAATGAAAGTTATACAACCGAGTCTTATAGATTAAACTTAAGTAGATGTATGACCACATCTGACAAGGTCTAATTACAGGTACATATCAGGGCTAATTACTCATCAGTATGTACTATGTATTTAGTATGTACCAGGTAAGTAATGTTTTTTCTCAGCCCTGATATGTACCGTGATCTCATTCCATACACCATACACACAAACACACACACACAAATTAGCAAGCTGTCTCATTAGCCAACACTTTTGTTTAAACTATGGATTTCTCAACAATTCACTTGGTTTAAATGTCATTTACTGCAATATTTTTTTTCCATTTTTTTTTAACATTTTCTTCTTGAATCTAAAAGTAGTTCTCTCATTTTTAGAGCTATTTCTTTTTCCTCATTTCTATAAAGTGTGACATCAACACTTAAAATTCAAAGTCAATTTCTGAAGACATTTAAGTATTAAAACTTGAACATGCTTTTATAAGCAATACTTTCCCTTCTTAATATTATTAAGTCATAGAAAAACGAAAAACTGTATGATGTACAATTAAATGTGAAAAATTAATGGGTTCGGTACATTTCAATTTTTTCCAGTGGTTTTTGTTTGTTTGTTCAACAGAACATGCTTTCTAGTCTTTTCTTCAAAGAAATGGGTTGTGGTAAGATTTATGGGATATCTGTTTAACAGATATTCGAATAAACTTATTTTAAAACTAGTCAGTTTTGTTTTTAAACAATAAATATTGATAACTTGTGCTAAGACATTGAGCAGCTGATAATCAAGGAAAATTTTACATTAATAAATAATTTTATATATTAAAATGATGAAGAGTTATATAAATAAAGAGTCTTATATAATATGGTAAGTTTTTCTCGTCACTTCAGAAAGGTTTAACACACAATGTAGTTTTAGCAAAACTGCATATCATAATTTATGTGTCTGCACATTTTTTTAAAATTTAATCTGATAAATACTATTAAGTGGCAAACTGAAATTTTGTTATTATTCATATTATTAGTACACTAGCAAAATAGTCAACTCAAATTCATGACAATTTTTTGAATTTTTCACTGGTTGAAAGGTAGAAAGCACAGCATTGTGATTTTTTTCTTCACTATCACAGAAATTCTACACTTTCCATAAATTCCATCGTAAAATGAAAAGACGTAAGCCAGGGCAAAGAAAAATATTGAAATCAGAAGTAAAACTAACATTAAGTAGAAATAAACTAAATATAATGATTAAACACTGAACATAAAAATCAGACATTACTTATTTTGAAGTAGGTACATCTAGTATCAACGAACAAAAACTCCCATGGCCCATGTACAGCATACAAACTACTGGGAAGAAATTTGAAGTGTATCAAAATTGATAAGATTGTCTCAAATATATCATACTTTCCATGTAAATTATCTTCTATTCATAACAACATGCAGTGTGTTTATATAACACTGAATACGTAACAGAAATTGTCAGGAACCCATTCAAGTAGCTTAAAAATAAATTACAGCCGTCACATTAATGTGGTAAATGATATTTTAACTTACACATTACTGTCTATGAAAATAATGTATCATCAATGTCCATTCTACCTTTTACATGTTATACAGATTCTCAGCTTTCAGCAGTAATTTGCCTTTTGATCAAATCGCAATCTGAATGACTCCGATTAAAATAAACCTGGAGCGTAACTTCTCATCAAAACCTTTTTTTTTTTTTATATGATGGCATTTATGAGAAGTATTATATAAGGGAATAAATAAGAAATTCATATATATATGATGAAAAGTGCATGATTTCTTTTTTACACTAGAGTGGTTTCAATACATAAATGTTATTACAATATTTATTGGTAATAAAACACCAAACACAGCAAATACAGGAATGTGACAGTTGTGTAATGAATTAACAGCACATGTTTTAACATGTACAGAAGTTCAATCACCTCGCAAACCTTTACATAAAGAAATTCGCAAATGAAAACCATCTTTTTATGCCACCTAATATGCCTCACATGATAAAATGCGTATAGCTGGTATATCAAAGAAACTTCACAATTAGAATAGGTTTTTTTCCCCACAAAATTATAGCAATATATAAAAGGCACCAAAACTAGCTTGTCGGTTTTTTAAAATGTTCTACTTTAAACTTTTAAAAATAAATAGGATTTCAAGAAAATAATTAAAATACCATTAAATAATGTATATTACCCACAAGATAATCCAATGAGTTGTTTTTCTCTTCAAATGTATCTCAAACAACACTATCTGTATAACAAAGTACTGTGATACAGGAACTGTTCAGGTCCACCTGGACACAAGCCACACAATTAAGGATGTCAGAAATTAGCAATCTTTATATATCACAATTTCTAACATAGACTTGGGCAAGTTTCAAGAAAACCTTCATTATAATGGGATAAAGGCATAATTAAACTAGTTTGTTCAAGCATTTGAAAAAAAGTGATTTTCTCTCGAAAGAAAGATTAGCTGTTAAGACTCTTAATATTTTGTACAGATCTGGGAAAAAAGTGATGTTTATGACCTTTCATTCTTGTCTATGGGAAGGGAATGACAGCACAGTGTGATTATATACAATGATGATTTATAGACAGGACATAAAAAAACATTTTTCCATCACGGGACTGGAAACTTGACAGTGTTATCCGAGTCCAGAAACTAAAACATTAGCCTGTTCCTCCTTCTGAAACATAATCTAATCACTCTAATTTCCTGACAATATTTCTTAACATATCAAAAACCATCAGGTTCACTTTTTTCTTGTAACCATTTTTTGTGTCTTCCATAACTAATCTCGTTTTTCTGCAATTTGTTAATAGAGGAATGCAGTAACACATACCAATATTTAATTAATTTTCCTTTAATTTTGAAAGCAGGGTTTGTTTCGATGGCAACCCGATATCTTTTTGAAGCACTGACATTCAAAAGTATCTTATCGATTTTCAACATTCCCATTCAAACTGCACAAGACTCCAATGGATCTGAAAAAGGAAGCTGTCTATTGAATACCCAGCACTAGTATTCAGAAGCAATGTTCAACTTGTTCCTTGTGATCTGTCCAGTGTTGAATTATGATGAAGAGAAAGACATAGAGTATCCATATATCAGGCAGTTTACACCCGGAGTGATCACCTTCAGACCAAGGTCAGCTAGTTGCCTCTAATCTACTTTCACCACACTGTAAATCTTGGAGGTAAACCAGAAACAGGCGAAGAAACCAATGGTTCCTGGAACAAAATGGGCATACAGTCAGATCAAATATGTCGTAAGTTGCTCACAAAATTACTAACGAGTAGTGTAAAGCCACGCTGACAGGTGGAGACATGATGAACAAATCTGTCGTCAGTTGCTCACAAACTTACTAACGAGTATTGTAAAGCCACTCTTACAGGAGACATGATGAACAAATATGTCGTCAGTTGCTCACAAACTTACTAACAAGTAATGTAAAGCCACTCTTACAGTCGGAGACATGATGAACATAGTTAATTTACATATCAAACAATCAACCTTTCATCATTTACCACAAGACAAATGAAAAGCAAATGTACATATATATGATCATGAAAGGGAAATGTACATGCTTGTCAAATCATTAAATCTTCATACATATCCTCCATATTTTTGTTGGAATTCCATGTTTAGTTAAGTAAGGAATATTGATTAGCTGATTAGAAGTTATATTTCCACTAACTTAAGGGTTAACATAAGGACTTTGTTATTATTATTCTCTTACCCTTACAAAGCAAGGGCTACTTGTCAGTAAAATTATATTGTTTGTTTCTTACCGGTGGTCAAGAAAAATGCAAAGACCATGATGAAGGTATATCCAAAGTAGAGCATAGTGCTTGCTGTGTCGTGGATCTCCAGCTTAGACACGAAGTAATGAATGCAGTAAGCGAACAGGTAGACACCAGTGAACCCACTGGTCAGGAACGAACGCCACCACCAGTGATAATCCTACAATAAACATAACAGTGATAATCCTACAATAAACATTACACCAATCAAGTCAATCAACATCACATTTACAGTATGCTTTCAATATCCTTAAATAAGCTAAGCTGTTAGCTGTTAGTAGGACGCTAAACCCCATCCATCATTAGATTAACTCATTCACCCAGGAAGACACATTTGAACTCTTCTAATTCAAAGGTTAGAATAGTTCATTATGATACTTCAGGGGTGAATGAGTTAACAGGTTTCCTAGATGGGTCTGCTCACTTGCATATATATATATATGTATTACTTGTTTCTCTTATGCCCCTTTTGTGTATAATAACATTTATAAATGATGAGAAGAATTTTTATCAATTTTTATCAATTTTATCAATTCATCACTTCTTTTATCTGCTTTCATATATATATTCATGTATATTATATAGTTTTATTCTGAAAGGTAGACAGTTTCCAAACATAAATACACAAAAATTGAATGTGAATAATTAGTTTCTTATTATTCATATTTTTCTTATTCCGTTTTTGATCAATTATTAAATGAAACTGGAGAGTTTCTGGAAATACATATTTATACCCTATTAAATCTGTACAAGCAAAGTCAAACTAAGTCGCTAAGCAGAAAATATATATCACAGCAACCTTCATTTGATATATTGGTATAACACTCTTCAAGATACATGTGAAGTTTGATGACTTTTGGAGTTCTAGCTTTGAGTAATGGATCTAAATGCGAAGTCTATATGATCGTGGATTGTTGTACAAGCAGACAAGAAAATCAAATACTTGATTCCCTCCTCCTCTACGTTTTGGGCCCAAACTGCTACAGCTAATGCTGTAATATAAAACTTGTAATTAATATTGGGTTCAGAAGTTCAATCCTGATGACACCCACCTCTGCACAAAGATGGAAATAACACAGCAAGATGGTGGCCTCGGAGCAAGTGACGAGGAGGATGACAAACACCAGGAATAAGAACCCAAACATGTAGTAAGTCTGCTGCGACCTAGAAATACAGCAAACATAAAAATTATACCACATGAACATGATCATAACTTTGAGGTCAAAATGATAGCACATAACTTATATATCTTAAAGTTAATGAAAAATAAATTGCAAAATCAATTACCTCCTTTCATAAAGTGTACAAAGTTTTATCAAATTCAAACAGACAGACACCTTATTTTATTGTGGAGGGTATAATGACTTTTAAATGTCTTCAAATATGTGTTTTCTACTAAAGATTAAAGGTAATTTAAAAAAAAAAGCCCACTACTGGCTTAAATGTGGAGGCTTGTCGAGCAATATTCTTCTTTTTGTTTGTTCTGAACACAAATACACCTTTTATCACATAATGTACTGTGTTATCCAGTGAATATACCCATGTCATATGTTTTTTGCGTATTAACCCATGTAATATGACCTATCAGCCCTATGATTGGTTGTAAGTTTCAATTGTGACGTCACACGTAGGACAAGTACATGACGTCACAGACTTACACACTGGAGTCAAAATGGCCCCTTTTTACATTTCAAAGTTGCATTTACAGTCATGAAAAGGTTATTGCAATATTAGGTGTTCACCCACCATATACTATTAAGAATGAAGAAGAGCTGGATGAAGATGCAGCCGAAGGGAAGGACACCTCCCATCACAATGCCGGGCAGGGGTTGGGTATAGAAAGACTGGTCCGGAATCTGGCGAGGAATCTGGTTTGTCCTCACTGGATGCTCAATGGCCTGAAATAACAAAATTTTGAATCTTGAATATAACAAGAAAACTGAAAGTTAGACGTACCTCTGAGGTGAGACTACTGCAAACACACTTCTCTTAATATAAATAATATTTTAGTGCAAAAGTACTCTATCCTTTTGACAAATCTTACTCTTGGGGTGAAGTAAAATATTTTTTTCTGAATAATACATTTAACTGTTTTCTTAATGTGTTAAGCAAATTGAACTTGTCAAGTGAAGCCATCTGTGTCAAACTGCCATATGATTAGGGTTTGTTCCTGATCTGTAATATCTAATCTCCTCCACTGTGATGTCAGAAGGAACAATACAATACCACCACTTCACAGCAAAGGCATAACTAAAGAAGTTTTTCCTTGATGTTTCTAGTTTAAACATGTATATTTACATGTCAAAGTCTAATTGCACATCCTTTAGTTTATAATACAACAAAAAGAATCTGAAATTCATTTCCACTCCATTTGCCATGGCTTTTATGACACTTGTTTGATATAAACATAATTAATGGGAATTCCTTTGAGATTTTCTATTTCTGTAATATTGGTGAAAATTTTCTTAATATGAAAATAAAATTGAATCAGTAACTGTAGGATTTAAATTTACACATGGATTTAAAAGTGAAAAAAAAACCCCGAAGCATTCATTTACTGTAAAAACAAGAAGAAACACAAAATCAACGTTGAGGTGGTCTCAGAAATTTAGCACAATGTAAAATAAGTAACGAGAACATCGGATTTGTAACCAAAAGAAATGTTTAATGCAATATCCGAATCCTTACCCTCTTCTTGTAGCCGAAGTAAGCTCCAACAAAGACGAGGGGTACGGAGATACCAAACCACAGGGCAAGAAGGGCGATGAGTGTGGAGAAGGGGATGGCTGCACTGCTGCCCTTGGCCCACAGGATCAGGTTCATCAGGAAAAACACTCCAAACACAATTCTGCAATAGAAGCAGCAAAATTAGCGTAAATCGTTCAAATTTCTAGCAAAAACTCCAACAAACATATTGGGTTTTTTCTTAACACTATCTTTGATAAGTTTCATGTAATGAATTCAACTTAAATTACTTGTTCTGTCAAAGTCACAAAATTTCTAAACTTACCCTGGGCAAAATAATGCAGTGATAATGACATTTGACTTCCACTTCTCCCCTCCAAACACTGAAACAGTAAGTGATAACATACATGCACTTTTTGTAAATAGGTAATTGCACAATTTTTATGAAATACTGTAAAATGTGTGGGATTGCTCATTGATATTTGGTTTTCATTACAAGTTGTTGTTACAATCTCGGAAAGATAGAGTTGTCTCCCTTATGTAAATTATGAAACGTGCCCAACATAAGCATTGGCAAGATATGATGACAATTAAGGAAACAAGCTCTGCATAACATGGGTAACAGAAGTATGTTTTATTTGGTAGGATATTTATATAAACATTGATCATCCATCATTTTTTGAATATTTCAGTCTCAAAGAAAATTAAATTCTTCGGAAAAAATTCAGCATTCAGTTAAAATAGCAATGATCACATCAACATGTGGGCCCCGTCATTCAATGCTGGTTTGAATGCCATCTAAAGGTGGTAGGGTTATTTAGGGGCAATGTCATCAAGAGATATTTGTGATAAATAGCTGCATGATACCAATATGTTGATTTGATTTTCAGTGAAATTTTGCTGAACAGTTACTTACTTTTGTAAATCCTAGCAGATACATAACCAGCTGGTGTTCCCAAACACACATATAGGACCTGAGGTAGAAACAAGGTCAAAATATCAAACTGTTTCAAATTGCAACCAAAAATGTATTTGTTCGAGATACATATATCTTGTTACTGGCTCCATAAATACCTGGTACATAAATAGGATAAAACGTTGAAAGAATATTTAATAAATTCATTTAGATATTTTGTTCAACCTTTTCATGAGATCTTTACATGAAAACTTTCATGAATTTTAATAAAATGAACTGGAAACCAATAAATTAAAAATCACTGAAATCATGTCTGCCGAGGAATAAGAAGCCTTGAAACTCCAACATTTAGACATTCTTACAATCTAAAAGATATTTTTCTGCTGACAAAATGTCAATTTAATTTGTTGCATATATCATTGTGAAATGATGTGTAGTTTCAGAATGTCAGCTAATATGGCAGTGAATGTTAAAAAGCTTAAAAGATTTGTTTTTACTCACATCCTAGTAAGGAATTAGCAAAATATAGTTCCAGAACTGAAAGTCACTGTCTTTAACTATATGGGATCGAGTTTTAAAGTTATTCCACATGGGACAAACATTTCTTGCATACAAGACAGAGATATTCTATCCGACCCACGGGTCTAGATCAGTTACACGCGCAGACTGGCGGGGGACTTATAGTGACCTTTCGGGGTCAGGTTATTGTTCGTGACGTCATTTTATGACGTTTTGGGGTCAGTCGGGGTCGTTAACAATTGCCATCTGGGCTTCATATGCAAATGAGAAATGTGCGGACAGTTCACAACTTTACTAGAAGAGCAGCTGCTTTACGGGTTTTAGTTAATAAGCAAGAAATAGAATCCATCCCTGATATGAGGTAAGGATAAGGTTATTCAAACCACCGGGATAAAATACTGAGCAAATACCCTTGGCAAAGCCTCGGGTCTCCTGTTCAATATTTTATCCCTTGTGTTTGAATAACCTTATCCATACCTCACATCAGGGATGGATTCTATTAATCTTGCACGGGTAGAGGTGGGAGAAAGTACAGAGAGGTTGTTACTGGAGAGAGCAGTAAAGTGGTTAATGGTTACATGACTCACCATGGCACAGGTCATCAGAGCTCCTCTGTTGGCAGGAGACAGGAAACCAAGTGATGCAAATACTGAAATACATTAAAAAAGGTAAAAATGCTGACCCATGAAGGAATCAATTCATATTTCTCAAATACTTTTCAGAAGAAATACTTGAAAACGAATACATGATTGACAGTGACTAAGTGACTAATACATGATTGACAGTGACTAATACAAGATTGACAGTGACTTATACATGATTGACAGTGACTATTACATGATTGACAGTGACTATGTTCTAATTTTTAAAAGCAGCATTCAGAGAAGTAGTTTTGATCTTAAAAAAGAAAGGCTTGCATTCAACATGTATTATTTTATTCAAAACCAAAAGACTTTGTTTCACTGCTATTGTATACAGCAATCTAGCTATTTAATACTATACATAGCATTTTTACGTACAAGAGTTACTTTTGCTGCAAAAGAGACTATAAATGACAGTCAAAAACTAAAGATGGTATAGTACCAACAATGTGTTATACCATTGGGATTCCAACCCAGACCTCTTGTTTATAAGCTAATTCACTGTTAATGACCCTGATATTTGCTGTGTTAATACTTTTCTGCAATGATCCTGGAGACAATTTCAAAATGTGTGGACGCCTAAAAAAGGTTTGCAACCAATAATTGTCTATGTATACATATAGAAGAAATAACATCAACTTAGCAGGAAAATAACATATTGAAGCTTTTTTTAACAGTATAACAGTTGTGGAACCTACTACCTTAACATGACAGTCACAACACTTTAAAGATGTCCTGGATGTAAAATCTGAGCAAGTGAATGTGCTGTAAATGATGTCCACACTCACCCAGAGTGATGAGAACCATAAAGAAGACCTGCAGGCCGCTACCATTGAGGACGGCCAACATCATGCCCTTTCTGGGAGGTCGGAACACGTCTCCATGGACAAGCTTCCATCCAAACTCCTCCTGGGCATCTTCCTGTTCACACAAATATTTATCCTTTATAATTACTGCATTATTTTTCGTCGCTTAACAGTGAAACAAAACAAATGTAAATTATTAAAACTCGTTAATTTCATTTGTTCTTTGAAATAATTAATTAACAATTTATGTAATACCAAAATCTCATACACTTATTTTATTAACCTATTCACCCCTGCAGACACATTTGAACCCTTCCAATTCAGAGGTTGGCATAGTTCATTATGAAATTTCTGGGGTGAACAAGTTGAGCATAAAAATGAAATTCAAAATTCATGGCTGCTTTTACAAAAGTGGGGTATATATGACAAAAATGATCCAACCACATAAATGGGAAAGTCTCTCGGTCTGTTTTTGTTAAAACGGTTGAACTGGTCGGACCACAGATGTTCCTTTATTAAATAAAGTCGAACCTAGTAATCTGATGCTGCTTTCAGACGAGCCTCACAAGGCCTGCCAGGATTTATACCCAAAATTGTTACATTTAAAAAGATACAAACCGGTTATTCCGCATAAACGAACAGGCCCTAGTTGACACACTGTACAGGCAAGTACTTACAGAGTTATCCATCTGGTTGTAGCGGGCGATGTCCTTGTGAAGTGTTCTCAACATAATCATGGCCACCATACCAGAAAGGAACAGCACGATTACCAGCGAGTTCATGATGCTACAAATGCAGAAACCACTCAATAATAAGCACATTGAGTACAATGTACACTTGATCATCTTCTCTAAGTATTTTTCATCCTTTTCACTGATATTAAGCAAAAAATATAAATGGAACTGAGATGTGTTTCAAAGTGTGCAGATGGCAAAAGTCTAAAACTCGTAGTTTGTATTGAATATTGTTTTAATTTCAGGAAAGTTCACAACTTGAGCTATAATTCAGATTTTAATATATTTTCATTAACAACCTAGTTTAATTTAACATTACTACTGACTTTTGATATATTTCCTGATCTATTTCATGCTTAAAATAGTGTATCAACAAATTCTGCCCCTGTTGATCAGGTACACAATTAAACCAATGATAGAGTAGGAGAGTGATGTCTACAATGTCGTGCTAAACTAACCTGAACCACTGGATGTTTGTGTGAGGCATGGACTCGAGGATATAATCCCATCGGGATGACCACTTGATCGTGTTGTCTTGCTGGAAAGTAAAATTAAATATATACGTACTGTCCATCACAGAACAGATAGTAGGACATAATATGTCTATACCAACCTGAAGTAATGTTTCATTAAAAGCATTTTAGTTTTGTTAACAAGAATAGTGGATATGTTGTCTGCTCTTGCTGGAGACTGTATTGATTTTCAGGTTTTGGTAGAAATCAAACTTTAGCAGGTGATCAATATTATACTAATGTGTACAAAGTTTCATAAAATCAAAGCAATCAATCAAGGGTTATCACATGGAAACCATTTATGCGGATGATGCCAATGTTAACTAAATGACATGACCTCTGCTTAATAGTTAAATTATTGATGTAATACTGTAAATGAACCTAAACAATGTCTTTGGTGTGAATTTCATAAATTCATTTACTTCCCTCCAAAATACTTGATAAGGCACAGGCCTAATGTAAAATATATGATGGTATGAAAATTTAACACTTAACGTGTTTGGGTTTCCATCTCCAAAACAACTACAGTTATCTGAAGAATGGTCAACTAAAGGGCCCCAACACCGACATGATGTCATCTGGACATGGCTGTATGTCTACTGGTCATATTGTTCTGACACCAGTAGTACATAGGGACACACTATTGAAAGGGAAGAATACATATTGTACAGCAAAGAGATTTCTCCTAACTGGTACATTGTAGGCAGTAGACCACTTCTTGTCCGTTTGGTGTGGAAAGAAAATCAATGTTTTTACATATTTTTTCTTATTGTAGGATCATTCAGTTGGATACTGAAGAACAATTGTTTCCCTAACGCTAGACCTACAGAGGAGGAATACACTGGGTACTTACTTTCCATTTTAGTGAGTAGCTGTAGTTGAAGTTCAGGGGTTTATTGATATCTCGCATGAGGAACAGAGCAGGATCAGTAGGTTTAACTTGGCAGCCATCAACACTTAGATCAGTCGTCTTGACACTGTAATTAAATATAAATTATTTCAGTTTGTTTTTTTGTGTGAAAATCATCCAGCTTTATGTCTTAAATCTGACCTTCACTGAGAACATAGACAATAGTGCTATAGACAGTTTAGAGAACAATACAGGACATTTAATAGTCTTTAAAATAGATCACAGCACAAACAATCTGTAACTGGTTACATTTTTTGGTATTGATCATTTGCTGCCCAACTATCTCCATCTTGCACCGCATTATTCAAATAGTTTAGTACATAGACTAAATTTGTTGGTAAGTGCAATACCATCTTACTAAGCTATATGCCTTACAACAATTAATGTTTCAAAAGCTTTACAAAGATGCTGAATGAACATGATACTGATAAAGATACAGTTATACGAGTATCATGTACAATATATAAGCAAGCTGTGCTATCACACAGATCATGGTCCTGATCAATCTAATTAAAATTATATCTTCACATCGCTCCCGTTTACTGATATGTCGCGTTGAAGATCTAACAACATCCCGTAGAGGGTCATGTTCAGGCGACCTTTGCATTAACCAATCAGATGAGAGCTTACGCATTTCTGTAAGTGATGATGTAATGATTTCTGAACACACTTGCTATGATAAAGACCGAGAGTTGTCAAATGAGCATCGAAAATGGCGGCGCCCATGAAACCACGCCGTGTCTATCTACAAGACAACGTTTGTACAATTTGTGGATTTTGCTTCGAAATAAGAGAGACTTCCTCTTCTGGTTAAAAAGTTTAACAACCTGAAACTAAAATTAACCAATGACAGGCTTCGCAATATTCAAACTATCACTGGACCAGACGAAAAAGTGGATTTTGGGCTACGAGGTGTCTGCATTAAATGCTACAGGTCCTGCTTTCTGATTGGTTGAAAGAAAGAGTTATGTCGCGTTTTGATTGGCTTGTTATAAATACGATAATGCATTCATGTTGACCTCTGACGTGACCCTCTATGGGATGTTGTTAGATCTTCAACGCGACATATCAGTAAACGGGAGCGATGTGAAGATATAATTTTAATTAGATTGGGTCCTGATCAATTGTGCATTTGTTAACAGATCAGCAGAGAAGTGTTTTGATAACATTGATAACTTGTACTGTTGGAAAAAAAAAAAAAAGAAAGTTGACTGGAATATCCTGTGTCACATAGTTTTATTATCACATATCCCATTAAATACCTTTTTGGGACAATTTTTGCCGACACAATGCGACCTCCCAGGTTATTCTTGTCTCCCCATTCCTCTCCCTCTCCGGAGTGGTAGGTGATGGTGATGTCTACGTGGTTGAACAGGTAGTAGCTGTCCTTCTCATTGAAGCGTGGCTGTAAAACAGACATCAACGATGTAATCGAGGCTTCTCATTGAAGCATGGCTGTAAAACAGACATCAACTATGTAATCAAGGCTTCTCATTGAAGCATGGCTTTAAAACAGACATCAACAATGTAATTGAGGCTTCTCATTGAAGCGTGGCTGTAAAACAGACATCAACTGTGTAATCAAGACTTCTCATAAAGTTCCAGAGTCTGGTGTGGCATTTTGTCAATTTGTCCCCTTATTTATCTCAATTTGTTGTCTCACTGAACTCTAATTTTTAGTATATAAAGTTACTGATTAGTTCGTTTTCATCACTTGGCGGGAGTCGGACCTCGTACGATATGCTTACGCAAATATAGTCTGTGGTGAATTTATATTGATTAATGCAATATTGCATACTTTCAATATTTAAAGTTGTTCATCTATTTGATTTTTTCACAAAGTTGTTGCCAAAACATTACTTTTGAAAATTATTAAATTTGTAAAAAAAGTCATTTTTGAATATTAATGAGTGACTTTTTACATATGGGTCATATCACTACGCCAGCCTTGTCAATCAGGAAATAATCCAGCTGTTTCCGACTGAGATTGTGGTAGAAACAGATCACACGACTCATGGTTGTTGAGTATGGTATTTATTTCACTCTCGTTAGTTAATTTTCAAGCTAAAGCTCGTGTCTTTTGTAACTTTTAAAAATTTAGTAACTCGAGTGAAATAAATACCATACATTAATCAACAACCACTCGTTGTGTAACCTCTATATATACTTTCTTACATTGATATAATATCTGCATCATTCTAAGAGTGGTTAGCTGACATGCTATAAACAAGAGGCCCATGGGCCTTAACGGTCACCTGATATATTTATACAGAGAGTTGATTTTGTTTTTAACATGAACAGAAATATTATTCAAAGTGACAAAAAACAATAAAACCACCTTACTCAATATCTAGCATACAGATTTCAGACTAAAAAGGATTTGAAACTAGCACCTCTGATTCTTAACAAGGAAAATGAAGAAATTTTAGCACACTGACTCCTTTGAGCCCCACCCTACAGCCCTTGGGGGTAGGGCTGGCTCAAAATTTTCAAAGTATCAAACTGTCAATTCAAGGTTATAATTCCAATCAAGTTATTAACATGTAAT